GTTACTCCGATATACTCTTTCTCAATACCTAATTGTTGGTTCTCAAAGGGTATACTGTATACACCCGGTTGGTCTTCTAAATTAATTTTGTCCTTGTCGTTTCTTAATAATCTATAAATATTGGGTGCTCTTTTATATATTATCCTTGCATTTTTGTATTTTCCTAATTCCTTCACCACCTTCTTCGTTTGTTCATTGTATGTGAACTTATTGAATGTAGTATTGTTGTTATGGTTTGGATTCGTAGCTTTTTGTTTACCGTAGCTTTTTACAAGGCCTATGATTGTGGACTTTCTGTATCCTAAAGTCCTTGCTATCTGTTGAATTCTATTAATTTCTTTATCCCTGTCTTGTACATTGGTGCAGTACAGGAAGGCCCTTTTGATCAGTGCCTTAAACGCAGATAATTTATATTTATATGGGTCTTTTGACCATGCCGGTATGTATAAAGGAGCGTGTGTTGGTTTTAAATATACGTTCGTTTGTATGTTTCCTAATTTGAATTCCATGTTAATATCCAAGAAATGGATGTTCCTTCGGCTTTTTTGTTCTAATTTTAGCTTCAATCCGTGCTCATTATTGTTGATTGTTGTTAAGAAATCATGTACACACCATGCGTTAGCTCGGTGTTCGACGACCGTTTAGTGGAGAGTGCGCATTGGCTCAGTTTGGAAATGGACGTAAAAGTAATTACTTGTGTGTGCCTCCTCCATCGTCGCTATAAAAGATGATGGCAGAGGCAAAGAGAATTTTGGGTGTACCCAATATTATGAGATAGACTGACGCATGGAATGTTTGTGACGTTGTATCCAAAACTAAGACAGTATGAACACAAGTTTTTTAATTCTTTTAGAATATCTATAAAATCATTTGACGATGGCTGGTCTCTTTTAGATTTCATCAATAAATAGATCAGTATCGAAATGATCGTTCTCCATTTCGGCCAATGTACGTCCACTCTACCCAAAAGCGCGCGATTGAATGTACAAGAACATGGCAGCACATATATCTCAAAGCATGCGGCTGGCGTCTGCAAAACGTGCGTTCTAACAAAAATCTATCAACACGCACTTGGCCAGAAGTGTGCGTTTGAGTATGTATACCTATGCAGAACTCTTGGTTCTTTAAAACGCGCATTTAAAAACACCTAATGTGTACACAGCCTTAGAGGGGCAATAAACTCAGCAGGAGGGGAAAGTGTATATAACAGATGAATGTAAGAAAATGAGATCTTTTTGGTAGATGGACAATTGAGGAAGTTACTTCCAATGATAGGAAGATCTCCAGGTCTTAGTGATTCTGAAGGATCATCCAACATTGGACAGCTTTTGTATTACTACTAAGTTACAGCACTTAAGTACAATGCAGACTATATGCCTCACTACCTGACATGCTAAATCTTCCCTATATTTACATTATGGTAGGATAAATATAAAAACAAAGATAATATTTTAATTTGTTACAAAATAAACCATATGCAGGGCCAATCAATTTTATGTATAGTGGTGTACTTTTTACTTTTTGTGAATTTAACATTAATATTTTATTTTCACAGGAAAAGACAAGTACAGGAATATTTACATTGCTAGAAGATCATAGCAGTAACGGAACTTATATAAATGGAGTTAAAGTTGGTAAGCATCCTAAGTTTAAAATTATTTTCCTTTATGACCCCCCC